AGGAACACGGGTTCCAGGGCACAGACTGACCTGCCCAGGGCGGGCCCTCGCCCAGGCTGTCTCCGTGGAGGTGAGGGCGCCGCCGCAGTGCGGGGCTCGGAGCCGCAGGCCGTCCACAGGCCTTGTTGGCGGGTTTGAAAGGCTCCGCAGCGTCCTCGGGGTGGTGCCGCCGCTCGCGGGGCCTCGCTGGGAAGCTGGCTGTACTGTCCTCCCACACCTTCCGCAGACACGATTATCAGGGATTTATCCCCAGGACTGCAGGGTCACCTTCCTCCCTAGGGAGAAACGGGGCAGTGAGCACGGGAAGACTGTGCAGTCGGGGGTGCTATTCCTCCTGAAGCCTTTGGGCGAGGGGGTGGCATCCTGTGGAGATAAACATAGACACCCTCAGAGTTTCTGAGCGTCAGCTTGGAAGCGGTGTGCTTTGGGTTCTGTGGGTGATACTGCCAAGGGGCCGTATCTGCTCCCCGGCGGTGTGAAGTTTGTGTTTCTGTGTGACTTCTCTCTCCAAGAAGAAGGGTGTCTGGGGGGCCTGAGAGGTGGGGAGAGCAATGGGATCGAAATTTGAGGAAGAAATAATAACAAATGGATTTATGGTCACTGCCTGTGTGCCAGGCAGTGGACAAAGTGTGGCGCAGGTGACCCTCATTCATCCTCAGGAAGCCGACAGGGTATTTCCCCACTGTCTTACTGAAGCCTTGCGGGGTCACCGAGCTGCCCAGAGCCACCCAGCCGGCAGATAACCAAGTGTCTGGCTCCCGAGCCACGCTCAGGAATGATACTCATGACTCCTGAGAAGGGCATTTTGTTGCACAGGCTTTGCATTTTCCACTTATTTCGGCTCAATTTAGGGATGTGAGGTGGATTGGACCTTCTCTGAAGGCAACAGTTTTTCAGATTTAATGATTTAGGTTCAACTTCCCTGTGTGGACCAAGCCAGTGTTTCCAGTTCAAGGTCAGCTTCGCCAGCAGTTCCCGGTGTCACCCCTAGAGGGAGTCAGTTCTCTTCTTCTGTGAGTTAAGGTTAGTTACTAGGGCCTGAACCATTGTTGGAAGTGAAGTAGGAGGGTGTGTGTGTGTGTGTGTGTGTGTGTGCGCGCGCGCGCGTGCGCGCTGTAGGAGAGAGAGAGAGAGATCCAGGTCTGTGATATGAAATTTTTATAAATCTCACTGAATATGAAGATTATGCCCCAGGAGCGCTTGAGCTAACCTGAGGGAGCCAAGCTCCAAGTGGCACACAGCTGCCCCTGAAGGAAGAGATTTTATCTACGCTCACCCCTCACCCTTCAGGAGTAATATCTCCATTCGTCTTCCCTGTGGCCAGTTTCCCACATCTGGAAGGATCTGGAGGAAGATCCTTGATAAACATGACTCAGGATGGCCGGATTACCAGCAAGTCTCACTGTGCAATAAAGCCCTTCGACCAGTGCTGGGAGACACTGGGTTCTGGGGCTCAGTGACAGAAGAGTCTCTCGATGACAATGTGTGCTCTCGGCCACGTGGGTCACCCCAGCTGCAATCAGCACAGGGGCGCAGCGGGGCTCCTGGGGAGGCTGCTTCTCCTGTTGTCCTGGCTCCCTCGGTTCAGAGCTGCCTTCTCTGGTCCAACCCTCAAGTTCAATGTCAAGGTGATACCTTCTCTGAAGGACTGTTAGGAGGTAAACACTGCTCTCTCTTGTGTCCCATGGGCCTTTGTTCTTTAGAATCTCTGGTTTCCTGCTATCTCAGAGGCCGGTGGCTTTGTTACCAGAAGGAACTGAAGGGGGAAAATGTTCAAAATGTACACCCTTCTGTGAGCTAATGTCACAGTTTTCTCGGGAAGCTCAACTCTGTTGTCTGTGGTCACTAGCCTAAGAGAAAGTCCACTTGGGCATTTGCAAGACTGAACAAAGTAGCAAATGCCAGAAGGGTGTGAGAGAAGGCCAAGGGGCACCAAAATGTCCAGCTGGCAAGGTTGCTGCTCCTTGGAGAGACAAAAACAAAGCCCAGGTGGAAGCCAGAAGGGTGGAAAGCAGGTGTGCGGAGAACACGTCGCTGACCTGTGTCCAGGGCTGCACACGTGCCGTTCATCGGATTCCCACCACTGTGCAAGGCCGTGTGTGAACCCGTTTCAGAGAAAGTACCAGCTCAAGGTGTGGCAGCCCAAGGCAAAGCTGCAGGCCGGCAGCCTGGTCAGCAGCAGTGTTCTGTGTGGGGGAGGGAAGAAAGCAGAACAATTGAATTAGCTGCCAACATTGAAAAATTAAGAGATTTCACCACAGTTTGACTGTTTGGCTTCTTATGAAAACTTGAAAGTTCTGGCCACACTGGCTTCACATTCCTGCCTGGTGCCGGTCACTGGGGAGGAGGGTGGCTGCCCCATACAGAGGGCATAGGCTCGGCATCCCACCCGCATCTCCACCTAGCCTCCTAACTCCAATAAAACAGGTGAGGGAGCTCAGAAACAGACTCCCCACCCCCATGTATGAAGTTTTGCCTGTGACAGAAATGACATTGCATTGGACAGTGTGACCCCTGGGCTAAGGTCAATGTCAGTGGTGGAATTCAGTCCTAGATCTGTCTGCCCAAAACCAGGTGGGCTCCCGGAGGGCCTAGCCAAGGATGGAAGAGAACTGTAACCCATAGACGCCACGTTGCTTAATGCAGGTGGCTGATTTGCTCCAAGAGGTGGTCAAGTTTCCATCCACTCAGTTCCTGGAAGAGACAAGACTGTCAGCAGTAAAATCTAGACCTACCTGAGGCCCGGGAAGAGCCAGGAGCTCTGCCCGCAGGCTCGGGAGCAGGCCTCCTCCTGCCCCGTGTGGGGCAAGCAGGCCCTGGGCAGAGAGCGCCCCGGCAGGACGCAGAAACAGTGGGGCCTGGAGCCACCCAGGCCCGGACTTGGCAGCTCACCTGCCACTTTCTGTTCCTCTAAAAACAGCATGAAGTCCAGGGACAAGCAGAGCATGGCACAAATATGAGAGGCCATGAGGACCCCTGCGGGAAACCCGGCTGGGGAGCCTCGCGTGCGGGAGGGAAATAGACTGTGGGGATTGGATGGAGTGGGGCGTCTTTGTTAGACCGCGGGGGGGGGGGGGCACCCTGGAGCGTGGCCTCCGGGGAAGCAGGTTTGGGTTCAGTCACTGCTCAGTGGCACAGCTAGTGCCCGGGGCCATACATTCCACCCCAGGCCGCGCTCGGGACGCTCCTGAGCTCCACTACAACGGGCGGGACTTTCCTTCCCGATGAGCAGTGTCCGCAGGGCGCTTCAGAGACGTGGCCCTTAGTGTTGCCCTCTCCTGACAGCGCTGGACAGTAGAGGCTGAGTCACCTGCCAGGGAGGGAACCTGGTGGTGTGGGTGAAGTGAGACCACCCCAGGCTGCGGCCACTCAGGACGCTCGGTGGTCTACCCCACACCGCTTGTCTCACTGCCACACACCCCACTCCCGGGACAGCTGTAGAACTGCGGCTCTGCGGTAGGAAGGACACACCCAGCGTCCGCGGAGGCGCGAGGGTCCCGGAGGAGCTCTGCGGAGACTGAGGCCGGGGTGCGAGGGGCTTCTCCGTCAGGGCCTGCCCCCTTCTACCACCAGGGGGCAGCAGTCAGCAAAAAATGTTTTCCTAATGTAATCAGTGTTTTGCTGTGACCCTGTTATTTTAATAATACTGTATAAGAACCCTCTCCCAGTCTTTATCCTCCCAAGGAAAACTGTCAGGAATGGCAGGAATGCCTGTCATTTGCCAAATCTGAGCAGTTCTCCATCGGCAGGTAGAAGTCCACAGCCCACCTGGCCACGAAGCCAAGGTTCGTTCCTGACAATGCGTGTCCCGAACACAGGTTTCAGGGCACAGGGAAATGGCCAACCCCATTCTTGGGAAACCCCGTAGCTGTGGTCAGACGTGCACTAATGATATGTGAAGAAAGGCACTAAATGCAACCACTCTGACATGGAGAGTTGAGTCCTTCTGTGTTCGCGTTTACATTTCTGTGTTTGCCAAGGGTTGTACCTGAACCTGCCCTGGTGCTCCAGTCTTTCTCCCCACCCCCGAGCCCCTGGTCTCCTTGGATATCTCCGGTGTCCGTGTCCTCACTCTACCACAATCTGCTGCCCCAGAATGGTGCTGTCTCTTCCCATCAGTCTGGGTCCTGGTGGAAACTTGAATGAAAGTTCAGAGGCAGGGATACAATTCACGGGACCACACAAGAGATGGAGAAGCATCTGTGAGGTGGCTGTGAACAGGGGACCCATTAAGTCCTCTGGAGCTAAAAGTACACTAGGAGGAAATCCTGTTCCTGGGGACACTGCAGCTCTGGGTGATGCCTCTCAGTGGGTTGTGGGGTCAGCCACACTGGTGTCAGAGAGGCAGCCGGCAGGTAGGAGGGAAGAAACACCTGGGCCCCTCTCTCCTCCAGCCTTGCTAGTGCCTCCCAGTGGCTGACCCGAACCAGAGGCCCTCGGCACTGCCTGGGAAATGCAGTCCGGAGGTCAGCCTCCGGGGCAGAGCAGTGCAGGAAAGGGACAGGCACAGGGCAGGTGCAGCAGACCGAGGATCAGCGCCACGACCCTGCCAACCGGCTGCACAGCGCACACGAGGGGCGCACCCCCTTCCCGAGCAGGAGCGGGATGGGACCGCGCGTGTTCTGGGAGAGCACAAGGCTGGGCAAAGCTGGGAGGGAGAAAAGCGAGCCCGCCACCCTGTGCAGGTGGCACCTGCCTCTCTGCTTTCTCTCTGCCTGCAGCCTCGTGGGCCGCAGCACCTGTACCCGGGCTGCGAGGACGTGAGCATGAGGAGCCGCAGTGCAGGCCCGCCGGGCCTCAGCCAGGGGACGCTGGAGATGACGGGGCCGCCACCACCCACACTGCTCCCCAATGGCCAGTCCATTAAGGCCCCCGACATCCAGAACGCCTGTTTGAACACATGAAGTGTCTTTCTTACCCTGAACCCAGGGAGAAGTAGACTAGTCACTGTGTGTGTGGCCTAAAGCAGTGGTTTTTGTTGTTGGTGGTGGTGTTGTTGTTTTTAATATGGACGCTTCACAAATTTGCGTGTCATCCTCACGCCGGGGCCATGCTAATCTCTGAACCGGTCCAAGTTTAGTATATGTACTGCAGAAGCCAGCACACCAACCCCTGCAGGACTCGTGCAAACACAGAGTCCGAGGTTCCCAGATGTGCTGCGGCTGGTGGCCTGGAACCCCACTCTGAGAACCACTGGCCCTACTGAACTGGAATTCAAGTCCATGTGCATTTTGCTCTCTAAAGGTTGAGTGTTCCCTGAGCCCCCGGAACAAAGCTGGCCCTGCAGCATCTTCTGGGTGTCTCCCTGGTCCAGACATGTACCAGGCCCTTGAATAAACATTCATAAATAGTATCACAGATGGGAAACTGAGTCTCAGAGAAACGGTTTTATCCTGCTCTAATCTGGGTCTCAACAGGCAGGGTGGGGTTCAGGAGACGGGCCCAGCTCGGGGCCTGGAGCTCAGGGTGCAGCACAGAGAACTCTGGCTGTGGAGGGCGTGACCTTCCTGGCAACATTTAATAATACTATCTAATTAGTTTTCTTTACATCTGAGTTATTATAATATCAGTTATCTTTACTAATGCCAAAGACAATCACAACCATATGAATGCTTGATGGTATTTTGGTGTCTGATAATCTCTACATATCAAAGAGCATCTAATTAAAATATCAGTGCAGCTTTCATTCATCAAAAAAATATATTTTATTCAAGTTGCCAAAACAAATCTGAGGTGTTGGGTTGGGTTTGAATTGAAGAAAAGGCCCAGTTAAAATATGGAAACAATGTTCTCATTTGGTGGAAGCTGGAATCATTGTATACATTCTAATCACCTGTGAGTGGTGAGCCTTTTTAGATAAATCTTATTTTCTTTAATTTTTCAGGACTTCAAAGAAGTCACAAGTACAGTACAATGGATCCTCACATACTCTACACCTAAATTAACAAGTGTTTACATTTTGCTACATTTACTTTATCCCTCTCTCTTCTATTTATTTACTTATTTACCTTTCATCATGTGACATATCAGCCCTAAGTAATTTAGCCTGTGTCTCCTAAGGAAACATCCACCCACTTAACTACAATGTAATAAATTATCTCAGTACAGAAATATAACATTGATCTACTATTATTAAATATGTAGTCCTCATTCAAGTGTTTGCCACTTGTTCCAATAGCTTATTTTATAGCTGCCTTATTCATTTATGTGTTTATTGAGATTCAGAATCCAGTCAAAAATCACTTATTTTGGTCTCTTTTTCTCTTTATTATATTAACCTTTCTTAAGAGTTGAAAGTAGTCTTTTCTGGATCTCTCTTATGTCACTCACAAGCTCAGTACTTGATCTTTGAGATCCATTCATACAAATGCCTGGGTCATTCCTTGTAACATCCACACAGACATGTCACTGCTCAGACCCTGTAGTGCTCTGAGCACCTGGTGCTTCTGTCCATCCATGTTCCCATGTGTGACCTCCTGCTGTCCCCCTGGACGACCACATTGTGCAGAAGGTAACAATCCAGGACATGCGGCTCCTGGACCCCCACCTGCTCTGCACCAACGTTCTGAGGAGGCTGCTGTCCCTCCGGACCCCACAGGCCCTGCACCAGCACCGGGGCTGCTACACCATGGAGGACACCCAGCACCTGGTGCCCGACAGTGACCTGGAGGAGCTGCTGCAGACCCTAGATAGACATCTGCACTGGGGCCTGAGCAGCGAGGCCATGGTGGGCACCCCCACCTTCATCAAGACAGACAAACTGCACACCTCCTGGATGGACGAGGAGGACGAGGTGAAGGTCTCTGGCGGTGTGCACGTTATGCCCTGGGACCTCACCCTTCACACGGGGCATCTTTCACAAGGGCCGGGTGAACCTCCGGAGGTTGACCCACCAGCAGGTGCTGAGCTAGACACGGACATCCACCTGTGGGTGAGCGGCTGCAAGATGGCCACCTGGGTGCGGGTAAGTGAGGTGTTGGTGCCCCTGGTCCACCGTGGCCAGGGCACGGAGGCCCCGGTGCCCATTCTGGAGAGAGAACAGATCAAGTGCTGCCTTCTGCTGGACTCGATGTGCAGCACCAAGGAGAACATCGTGGTCACCAGGCGGCCCAGGCAGCTGACTGTGAAACATCACCCGAGCACCCGGCAGCTGAGGGGGCACCACAGGCCGACGGGTCTACCAGCCCTGGGGCATCTGGGCGCTGACCCTGAAGGAGACCCAACTAACACCGTGAGTCCAAGGGAAGTGTCAGCAGCATCGTATGCTTCAAGTGTCCCTTCTACTCGCAGGCCAGCCTGAGGATGGACATCCACACTTCACATCTGAACCTGGAAACTCAGTTGGCCACTGGGCCCGCCCCATCCCACGGTGAACGCCCGGCGCCTTCTTGCCATGAACTTGGGCGTCCCTGACCCTGTGGCACAGCACAATACCACCGAAGAGTTCCTCCCAAGCCCAGTCCGTGCCCTGCTCCAGGAATGGACCTCCTGACCCCAGAGCATGGTCGGCATCCTCATGTCCAAACTGTGGGAACAGGGGCGCCAGGATGTGGTGGACTTCCTGCTAAAAGTGTCCTCTGTGTTCAAAAGCAGCTTTAATGGCTGTCGCCAGGGGCCTATGTCTCATGCGGCAACAGGGCACAGCTTCTCATCTCATTCGCTCGGCTGTGTGGGGTGAGAGCCTTCGTCGCGGGCAGGGTCTCCTCGGAGTGCAGAAGCGAGGGGTGCAGCCCATCCTTCCCATCCAGATGCCCATTCATCACCTCCTGTGCCCTCACACTGAAGACGCCACCCCTCCTCCCACTTCACCTACTTTCCTGCCACCCTCCCTCCCTCCCACGGTCCAGTGCATGATGGTCTTTGTACTGGAAGAGCCGACCGCATCCTCTCCTTCGGCCATTTGAAAAGTTAGTGTCTCCTTCCCTGTGTTCTGTTCTCCATCTCCCAGCCTCTAGTGTCTTGCTCCTGACTGATAACTGGACTGGAATTCCTAACGCTTCAATGGTATGTTTAATCACAATACTGATTGTTCTTTAAAGGGCACATTTATCCAAAATGTGCATTCTTATGTTCTTTTCTTTGTCATGGCCCGTCCTGAGCTTATCTCTTTTATATTTGTAGGAAAAACTCCCACGTGTGAAATCCCAGTGTATTACTTACAAACAGACGACACGTGAGTGCCTTTCACTAAAGAGGGTGTGTTTGAAATCATCCAAGTCAGCCGGGAGTTGTCACGAAGAACACGCTCCATCCTGTGCCTTGCTCATCACCACTAGATGTGCTTCACCCTGAGTTTTTGGGGAGGAATTTTTGTTTCATTTTGCAAGGACAAGGGAGAAAGGAATCCTCCTCTGGAGTGATTGCATGGCCTAGGCCGTTGCTACGATAAGACGTGTTTGCATCTGCTGTTGTGCAAACATCAAAGTGCATGTCCGCATGAGAACTACAAACTTCATCGTTTCCTCTCATCTCAGGCTGAGGCCGACAGACGCAGCTGGAGGACTCAGACCCGAGTGAGCGCCCTGAGGACCCTGCTCGCGATGGCGCAGTCCGCTGTCGCTTGTGCCCAGCAGAGGGTTTTCCACATTCAGACCCTGGCTTGATCACGTTGTACACTTGAAGTCTGAGAAAGAAAATAAAGCAAGTTTTCTTGCAGTGATTTCAAATTGTGAGAGTTCTAAATTCACACAAAGGAACATTTTGCTAGTACACGCGTACCCGGGGAAAGGTCTCTGAATAATCTACCTCCGTGAGGGGAGGGCAAAGAAAACTGGAGACACAGACACAGACAGCCGCTCGGTGATCACCAGAGGGAAGGGTGGGGGAGGTAGAAGAGGGTACAGTATACGGGGTAATCGGTGATGGAAGAGGACTTGACGTGGGGTGTGAACACACACACGATACAACATGCAGATGATGTATTATAGCAACGATTTTCAACCGGTGTACCTCGAGAACACTTAAAACATGCAATACTTGACTGTTCAGTCAGGGGCACTGACTTCTTTCCCCTTAGACCAGTGGTTCTCAACCTTCCTGATGCCGCGACCCTTTAATACAGTTCCTCATGTTGTGGTGACCCCCAACCATACAATTATTTTTGTTGCTACTTCATAACTGTAATTTTGCTACTGTTATGTCTTAGGCGACCCCCATGAAAGGGTCGCTCAACCCCTAAAGGGGTCACAACCCACAGGTTGAGAACCACTGCCTTAGATTGTCAAATAAAAAATGACAACAGCCGGTACAACAATAGGTTTCCAGTGTGAATGTATAAAAATTATACCTATTTTTCTTCATCAAATTGGTAAAAAATATATATATTGTGTGTGCTGCAGCATTTTAGTAATTAGTTTATGTGTGCCATGAGATGAAAAAGACTGAAGATTGCTCTATTGTAGAATTGTACACCTGAAACCCATATCATTTTTGTTTTAATTTTATTACCCAATGTCACCCAAAACATTCAATTAAAAAATTAAGCTAGCCCTGGCCAGTTTGGCTCAACGGTTGGAGCATCAGCCTGTGGACCAGAGAGTCCCGGGTTCGGTTCCTGCTAAGGGCACATACCTCGGTTGCAGTTTGTCCTTGCCCGGTTGGAGTCTTGTGGGTGGCAACCACTCAATATGTCTCTCTCACATCGATGTTTCTCTCTCTCGCTCCCCCCCTCTCCGTCCCGCTCTACCTAAAGATAAATGAAAAAAAAAATTAAGCTAAAAAAACTGAAGAGACTGGCCACACCAGTCTGGTAATTAATAGAGTTTATGAAGAGAAATTTACATACAATGGACATCTTGGGTGACTACAAGACGAAATGGATCCGCACACTGTTTAGCAGGTGCCGAAGAATGATACAGGGCACAACAAAGGGAGAGCCCTAAGTACTAGCCCGTGACTGCGAACAGGCAGAGGGGTCGGCTGACGTGCTTGATCAGGTCATGATAATCATCTGCTCCAGGGACCAGCGCATCACGAGAGGCAGGGGAGAGGTGCTGGCTTCTGTCAGAATCAACACCATTAATTAAACAGTCTCCAAGGGGGTCCAGGGCAAACAGCTTCCCTCTGTCCGGTGTTAGCTCGAGGGTGAGTCAGTGGTCAGGCCTT